GAGCTTGTGTACCTAAAGATTTTTATTCTTGCAACATACATTGATTAAAATCTTCCAATTGAAAATCTTGTTCTTTCTGTCCACTTCTAAAGTCAAATACTSTCACATAAAWGAGGACCTTTGGCCCAGTCACATGTATGTGCCCATGAARTGTAAATTTCCACTATTGTGTTCAGTTATTGAACAATTTACAGTCTTTCCAACTTAATAAATGAATTTACCAATTAGCATTATGTGTATGGAATGCTGGAGAGACTAATTGGTTAGTGTCAGGATACTCCAAATGATTTCTTTAAAAAATTCTGCATTGAAGAACTGAACCAGTTTGGCTGATTGACACCAAAGTTCTTAACTTACTATTATTAATCTATCGTAGGTTTCCAGGCACGTATCGTGGACTTTTTGTCTAGTATGCACATGTCAATGGAGAACATACTCATTATGGATTCAATGGGCTAGCGACCGCCGAAGGCATTAGTATTAAGGGGGATCTGGAGCTCCTTTCCAGGAAATTTAAAAATCCTGAAAATCATAATATTTCCTTGCTAGTATGCACATGCGTATATGCGTAAAGGATGTTACGCGCCTGGTTCCTAAGTAAAAAGGCMCTTCTAGAGTAGAACATTATTTTCATATATGACTTGTCATTATCTATTTTTCTAATCTATAAGTCATTGGAAACAATGTTTTAATACAAAAATCATTCAGTTGAACCTTATTTGATAATTGCATGACATTTCTCCTAACTGTCTGATTGCTCCCAAAAAAATCTCTAATTTGCTAGGTACCTAGTACAATAGTTTTGATTAATATAAAAGCCTACAAAATATAAATATATTATACTGCTGTTTCTATCAACAGTAACTGTTTAACCCTGCTAAAGGAGAGAGTACTGAGGTAAGTGTGCATTCCCTATAGCTTACATTTAATTATTGTGCTCCAAAGACTCCTTTTTYCAGTAAGTTAAGGAAGCATTRTGTGACTAGCTGGCCTTGCAAAAACACTAATAAAGATAACGCCATTTTAATTGTTAAAAAAGGTAGCAATCATGGSAAGCTCAGCTTCAATWAAAATGAGATTTCTTGAGATAGAGGCATTGGTTGAGAGTTTCTTCACATCTCTGCATATAACAAGGCTAAGAGAAGAATGGGGGAACTTTAACTGTGAATGGAAATTTATCCTGGCTCTAGGCAACTATGTGATTACACCTACTTATTTAATAATTATTATTATTTTTTATTTCATTTTTTATGTACTTAAAAGTACCATGGGATAGGTTAAAGAGGGCTCTATTACTTAGTAAAATCTATTTATKAATAAGTAATAATATAAGATATAGTTTCATAATCTAATGTCATTCTTGTTCTTCTACATTTACATCCTGGCCATGGTGAGTTTTTAAATGTTTTCTCAAAGAGCTGGGATCTGTATAGCATTTCTCGCACCCTTCAATTCTACAATGATAGGGCTTTCTTTCATAATGTGTTCTTGTGTGTTTAAACCTGTCACTTGAATTAGAATATCTCTTATCGCAACCATCTATAGGGCACGCATAGGGACGTTCACCAGTATGGGAGCGCTGGTGGATCTTCAAGTTCTCAAGTCGAGAAAACGACTTCCCACAATTCTCATGGTGGCATTTGTGCGGYTTTTCTCCTGTGTGTGTCCGCATATGTATAAGCATTTTGTACCTGGCATTAAAGCCCTTGCCATTGCGGGCGCATCCCTGCCAATAGCAGCAGAACTCTGAATGCTTATCTGTTCTTATGTGGTACTCATTKACATGCCTAACAAGGTCTTCCAGCGTCAAGAAATGCTGACAACAACCCTGCCATTTGCATTGTTGAAGTTCTGGCAAGTTGTGAGATGCAACTCCATGAGCTAGAGTTGCCATTTGTCCTTGTGATGTAAGTTGCTCATGGTCAAAGATCTGTCGAAGGTAACACATGCTAGTTTGATGTGCGGTGACGACAATGCCTTCTGCTGCAGTTGATGTTGAAATGCTGTTTGTTATTCCAGCTGTACTTGGTGTTGCATGCTATAATATAATAATTGAAGAATTTAATAATTATAAGAAATATGTCAAAGTCAGAGTTTTTCCTTGGAATATATGAGAAGAAAATTCATTTAATATCAGCTCAATGTCATCTGTGTATATAAAAATATAATCTATAATTTGAGGTACAACACAATAATATAATAGGTTTGATAGTATGAATTAACAATATGATTAACAATGAACAAGATGATTAACTTACTTCAATACATGAATCATCAGCCTTTGAAATGATTAATTCACTAGGTTCACTCTTTGATATGATCAAACCAGGGCTGCCTTCATCACCATTGATATCCTCAATAGAGTCAGATGATGGACAGATAGCTGATAAAACTGGAGTAGTAAAGACTACAGCTTGTGAGATACCACTTGAGCTTATTGGGATAACATCTGTGACTAGTACAGCTGATGTTGTGCAAGAAATGTCTTGGCTGTTTGTTAAATCRTCGGTATCACTACCATGTGGTGATTCTTGGAGTATTTGTACCTCTACATTAGGTAGCGCATGCAGGTGTATATCAGAACTGAGAGATGTGGGTGAAACTGGTTCTTTTTGTTCATCTTTGGGAGACTTTTCTGCTTTTAATAGTTCTTGGTCATTTTGCTCCAAATTCTCTTCTAATGATTGATTATTGACGTTTTCAACTCCATCTAATACCTCATTACCATCCATTTTTGCAACTTCTCTGTTCTTCAGCCTTGGATGGGTAAATRGTCTTGATAGCACTGAAAACTGTAGAGCTGTAGAGTTTTTAATATCGTGAGATACAAATTACTGGTTAATCTTATAACTTAAGCTTCTAGCTGAGAAAATTCAGATTTCTAGTTGCATGTTTCCTATGCTCGATCGCGCAAAAAAGCAAAAGAAATTTAAGCAAGKAKTCAGTTCAGATTTAGAAAATCTAAAGGTTCATTTGAAAACATGGTCGTAAATATATAACATAAGTACGAACACGACAAAACCTTGTACAAAGCTTACAACACGTACATGTGCATGCAAACGTCAAAAAACACGAAACTAAAGCACTGCTATTGTAGTATATATTCACGCGATTGCCACCATTTTAGCAAATTAAAACATAAATTTTCGACATTGTTAAATCCACATACCTAAACGTCTTGAAATTCGTTTGTTTCATTTAGTTTTTCGACGAACATTTTTCACTCAACGTTGACTTTTTTTATTCGGATGGACTCCCTGATGGGCCAGGTAGCCTAGCCTAACCTCGCTTTCGAGTGTTCAAATAATACTTCTTTGGGGAGGGTACGGTCACAAATTGGTACATCATGAATAAACAGCAGAAATAGGRTCTATTTTTTGTGCTTTGAAGATTTTGTAAGTTAAGTTTTGTAAGATTTTCGTGTTATRTCGTATACCATTTGGTGCACTTTGTTTATAGTTCTATATTAATTTCATTTTTGTTATTAGTATTTTTTTGACGTTGGCAGATTCTCGGTTCGTTGGCTTATAATTATATATCTTCCTTCGGTACAGTACTACTCGATGTTACCTCCAAAATAGTTTTTCTTTTAATTTAAGGTGGTAACGCTAAAAGCACAACCAAATTGAGTGATCCCCAAAACAAAACTTGACTATTGATATCTATTATTCACACGTTTGTTTGTTTGTTGTTTGTTTTACTTCACTCTAAATTACGACACTTTTATTTTTATTATAGCATATTGTAGTGAAGTCAAAAATTAAATTAAAACAAATAAAATAATTGATAAACATTACACTGTACACCTTAGTCGGCTCAGGACGCTATAATTTCATTAAGTTGCTGCATTTTGAGCGTGTGTCATCAAGTACCGGCTTCCTTCAGTCAAAAACCTAACTGAAACTGAACCAATTGAATGTATCAAAATTATAATGAACTATGAGTGACTTAATTTTTGCAAGTTTTAAAAATCTTACAAGTAATTTTTTTGCAATATACAGGCCTAAAAACGTTCTTTCTTCTTGTAACATACTCTAGCTTACTTTTAGCTTTTTTTCCGTGTTTTTAAGAGCATCCGATTAACTGGAAATGCCTCTTTTTTCACGTAATTACGAGGAGATTGATGAATGTCTTCTGATCTTCCCGGTCGGGTGAATATTTAAACTGTTCCTTTTTTTCTATATCCTTTAGCCACTTGAAAATGGTTTTTATTTGGGAACTTGGATTCTTTGTTTCCTGGGGAAATTGTTCTTTCAGCAAGTATTATAATCGGCTGGGGAATGGGAGGATTCCGGATTCCAAGTGCTGGATTCCGGATTCCGATACATTGGATTCCGGATTCCAAGCTTTGGGATTTCGGATTCCAGAGAATTTTTGTTTTGGATTGCGGATAATAAATGGCGTGATTTTCAGTGTTTTTTTTTTCCTGAAAATTTTATATTCAGCGTGTCAGTAAGCTGCGCAGGGCGCCAGCAACACAGGCTAGCGCGTCACTAATTTGCACTGTCTCCAATATTTGTCGCATGCTGACAAACGAACTACGTATATGAAGTACAGTAAAGTACAGCATATCAGTTGGATGTACGTTCCCATCTCTAGACAGCTAGATTTTCACCGATAAAAGCAATCTTCCTAACTATCCAGATTCTGGATTCCAAATATTTGGATTCCGGATTCCACTATAGGGATTCCGGATTCCAAAGCTGTTTTTTACTGGATTCCGGATTCCGGATTCTCTTACACGAGGCGAGGCTGGTAAGCCACTTGTTATTTCTGGATATATTTCTCCCAGGGAAACGTTGGTCCCACCCAAATCAACTGTCTCACGTTTCTGTAAAAAAAGTGAAAACACGAGAACTCTGACGTCTGAACYTGATCCGTTCTTGCGAAAGCCATAAAAGCACTAAACAAAAAGACTAATTTTAGCCGCAACTACTATTATGTGTCTATCCAGAACAAAGCCAATGAAATCTAACCTACCAAAGCTGTGGTATTGTCCTTCCGAGAGGGATATTCTGGGATGCTGAGAGTTTCTATATATATATATTTCAGTACGCGTACTTGTGTATGAATTCCTGCGTGCCGAATTGCTGAGAGTGTGGTAATGCAGAGGTGAATGCGCTGACACCATCTCGTCTCGCGTTCGCACTCATTTGAAAGAAAATKATTATTTCTGCTATTTTTTTAATTAAAAATTTGGTAAAAAGCATGCATCCATCACGAGGCAGTCACTTTTCAAGATTTCAAAAGCGCACGCAATTTKTTATATATCGTATCAAATGCACTAAAATTATAGTATTTTTCGACATTTCTCCGCGTTCCCCGTTACTAACAACAACAACAACAAATAGAAAAAATAAGAATAATATAATATAATATATATAATATAATACAATATAAACTTGATCCTCCATATAATCATAGTTACATGTAGTTAGTACTAACTATGATATAATCTGATTGAGTGTTTTGGTACACGAAACTTCTTAGTACAGCTATAGCTTTTGGCTGATTGAAATACTAGCGTACTTGAGGAAATCCTTGAGGAGCAATGTAAGAGGAAGCTTTWTAACTGAATTGAAGTCACATATGTATATCCGTGGAGTCCTAGCACCGGATAGGAAATATCGAGCCAGTTGGCCTTGTTGCTCTACCGACACCCTTCTAACCATATCATTTCTCCCTCCTTTCTGTAAATTCGATATGTTTTTGGTGAATTTGCGTTGGTGAATTTTCCTATATCATATTACTGATTCTGCTCGCAATAAGATATATTAGCTTTGACATGCATTTGAACTCATTTATTGCCAGTRCATATCAATTGACTTTTGCGGTTTTCGYTTTCAATTTGMGGAAATAGAAAACGGACGTTTGGATGCCCGGTTTCTGTCATCGTGTCAGGATTGTGAACTCCTAAGGGGAAAACCAGGAACTGGACGAATTGACGATTTTTTTGCTTGCCTATGAGATTATGGGAATACTGGAAACTTGCAGTGAGAAAATACTATAGACTTCTGTTTCACGATTGCGTGCAAACACTCTGTTAGTTATAGAGACAAAATTAACATTTGAATACCAACTAATACTGCAGATCGTCCCAACTCACCAGCCAAGCTATGAACAATTAGGAACTCATCTCTTGGAAGTTTTCACGGTAATRGGGTTGACATACGTCAAAAGTTACGAAAAAAAAATTTGGATTCGACACTCACTAAGTTGTCAGAAGGCCAACAACAAGCAAAGGAAACGACCCTCAGCAGGTTCCATGGTGACAGGACGACGTACATAGATTTATCGTCTTTAGATTTGGCAGTGACTCAATTGTGAGCTCAGTGCATTTCCATATATGGAACAATGGTAGGGGTGCTCTAGTTCTAGGGGGAATCTAGCTCTAATTTCCCTTTCTGCAAAGTTTGTCAAATGCTAATAAAATCGATTATACCTGACTATTCCCCTTGGGCTTTTCGATCTAAGTCCATGAAATGTTATAGTTTCCGATCTTATTTTCCAAATGCCCAGTTTACATCAGTCAYCCACAATGTATATCTGATTGAGTATTAAATACTCAACTTGGATCTTCAGGGACAAAAGCTGGAAGCTCCCCGCCGATAAAATTGATCCAAGCATAACAAATRTAGCTATCAAAGAATACTTCCTAGTCTATGTGGTTTGGCAAACGATTGCTTCGTCAGCTATCGTGTAGAATCAAGCCCTCCACTTGGACAAGGTCGTAAAAAAGTGGCCACTAAGCGCAATTACCTAATCCCCCTGACTTTCAATGTATTTCTACTCCGTGCGTGGGACTGCAATCTGTGGCTTTTCAGAAGACTATCGTCCTTGAAAAAYCCTCAATAATTGTTTCAGCTTTGTTTTATTTAAACTTGCGTTAAGCAAAAGAAACACGCAGTTGATTCACGTCATTATTAGCTTTTCTCTTTTTACAATATCCATGCCGATAAAAGTACAAGTTTTTACTTCCTGTCTTCTCTACGTAACATTAGAAGAGAAACGAACGGAAATACGTCATCATTTCCTGTTCCCTTGTGATAATAATGAAATTGCCAGCACTGGGACTTCATACTTATGAAGCACTTCAACCTTACGGGATCATCATGAAGTTTGCCATTTTTCTGCTCATTTTTGCCTGGATTTATRAAGGGGTGTCGAGTAAGGCTTTGAACAKAACTTCCACTACGGGTATGACTTGAAGTTTTTCACGCCACGTTTACATTTAGAGTGTTGAAATGAATATTACTTATTATTTTCAAAGCATTCATAATTAATTTATTTGGAGTTTCAAAAGTTATTWTATACGATTTAGAAATACTGAGTGAATAGAATACACCGCTCAATAACAAAATGAATTTAAGTAAAAGAATTCATACCGAAGGCTTAGCCGGACAGTACGGTCAGTACGCACCAGAGTTACGGACCAGTACGTTGAGCCCCGTTCGGATCTTCTTGTAGTGCGAGAGAAAATAATATTTTTATATATGGAGGATATTACATGGGCGCGCGGAGATACGGATTTTATCTTTAGTGTTAAAAAGATTGAGTAATAAGCGAGTGAGCGTAATTATCATATAATTACATCTGAAAGCAAATTATGTCGTTAAATGCCTTTTTTTCTTACTTCCATTATATAGAGAAACCTCGAATGTGATATTTTCRCTAGTGAAAATAACATTTATGTTTCACAGCACGTTTTATGATATATGCTGTGATCTTATTGCATACAATCAACTTTGTTTGGCAGAATTTTAACATAAAAAATCAATAATTTTCGCTTTTATAATCCCTTATTTTCAGTTGCTGCAGTAAAAAATGAATCAGCGTCGTCTACTTTAAGTCCTGTTGCCCCCACTCAAAAAMGTAAGTTGTATGTTTTGCAAAAGCACTCTGCTGTATCACTGGTATCACCTATAGGGGGTCCACCTCTGACACGCTTAGCACGGTATTAGTTTTTTTAATACTGAATTACACTAGTTTTATGCTTGCATCTCTTTAGTTGCTGAAACTATTTACAAATGTTTCATAAATGATGTAAGAAAATGTTTACAAAAAGAATCTCTCAATCAGTGGCGCCTCTGTTCTAAGTCGGGGCCTTGGGGTGTGAAAGCCGAGCGCTAAAACCATCGGTCACGTAACAGTCCTATTACATGGATCTAAATTAAATGATGCATTATTGTCATTATTATGATCTGATACACTAAATTAAAAGTGTGTTGGGGTTCAAAAACAAAAACAAAGAAACGCATGGAATTTTTTTGAAGAAAGACGACAAAATTGCTTTGAAATATCACCATATATAGTTAGTACTAGAAGGGAATTCCCCTCTACAACTATGATCTCAGACTTTGATCAAAATTGCTTTGAAATCTTGCACTTCTATATATGCTGAATATTTTCCACACAAATGAGGCTAACACAAAGTATTGGAAAATTCGAAACTGGAGTATTGTGCAATTGCAGTTTCGGATTCATAGCGCAAAACCGCTGCTTTATTTGATAGCAGATTCTCTTTCGCAAAGACCTTACCAAACACAAAAGAGAGCACGAGAAAATGTCGTTGATTACAATAGACTTGAAAATTTGCATTTTCCCCGAGTTGAGACTAACCCTGTATTCCCATAAGATCTAAGGTATGAGCCTTCTGGGAATACAGGGTTAGCCTCAACTCGGGGAAAATGTAAATTGTTTGCGCTATTGTACTAACAACATTTTCTCGTGCTTTCTTTTGTGTTTGGTAAGTTCTTTGCGGAAGAGAATCTGCTGTCAAATAAAACAGCGGTTATTCGCTTTGAATTCGAAACTAGACTATTGTGCAATTGTAGTTTAGGAAAGCTATACAATAGATTTTACTCTATGATGTTAATCAGCATGATGCTTGTTCCCGGCTAAAAACAGAATGTATTCAAACTCTTTTTTGAAATCCACTAATTTTAACAGGAGTTTGGAGTACAACAACGACCATAAGTGACATAAGTGAGMTTAAMAACAACYTCAAAATTGATAAAGGTAAAAGTAGGCACTTTTTAGAAATTTAGYGCAACGACAAAGAAAACTAGAAAAGTATGCGGACTTTTTTGTTTGAAACAAAACAACCTTTCTACCATTCTTTTACGTATTGTGCCCGAAAATGTAATATCCAATGTGTGTGATTGTCTGATACAAAATTACACCCCCTGGTAAACACAAACGAGGAGCAAAGCGACAATATTTTAATAAAAACTCAAACATTTATGTATTTGCGTCATAATTTTTGCACCATACGAATGTATACATTTACTGAGGTGTTCACTGCGGGCGTATAGATAAACGCGGTCACGCCCAAAGACACATATACTCGATTGAGAACAGGTTTTCGTCGAACGAGTTTCTAATTTGCCAGTTCATTGATTTTTACCCAGAAACTAGTTTGCGGGCTAGTCGCGTTTCGTGAAACCAGGTCGATGACAACCTGTTGTCAATCGAGTATATGTGTCTTTGGGCGCGGCCGCGTCTGTCTATATGTCCGTAGTGAACACCTCAGGAAATGTATACAATCATATGGCGTTGTTTGTATACTGAAGCTAAACCACAATGCACTATGATTTAAGCATTTTATAAAAGGTCTATTGGGTTTATGTCGTGTAATCTAATAAAAAGTAGACGTATAGTTAGCTGTTTTATCATTCGTATTCAATCCAATGTACTGTTAATTTTTCAGATGTAGTAAATCATGCACCATCAAGTGACAGTTTTTTTGGAAGAAACTCGTCAATACCAGTCATCGCTCTGTCTWGTATCGTATTAGTTCTGGTGTTTGTCGTCATTGTGTTGTCGGTGATCATCGTCATCAATCGTAAAAGATTATATCGACTTAATAACCAAGCACCCCAAGCAACACCACCGCCTACAGGTATGAGATGATATGACCTTCTTTCTTGCATTCATTCATTTATTCATTCATTTCATTTTTTCATTTATTTATTTGTTGATCATCTACATATTTACGAAGAATGTCTACATGTTTAACTTCTTTTTCCAGCCTAATCTCCCTTGGCTAGGAACGCTAGCTTGGCAACACAGGCTAATATATCATTCGTTCATCCATAAATTACTAAAAACTACTTCATAGTTTATACCGCTAGTTTCCACCATCCATAAATTCTTTCTCATTTCTTCAGTTTTGCTGATTTACACATATTCCATTTCATTGCCTTTACAGAAATTCAACAAATTCCACCAACAAGCAACAATCAAATGATCTGTGAGGATATCAACCAAAATCCAACARTTGAGCCGGTTACGCTTGGCGTTTTTTCMTTACCTGATGAAGGAAACWCACGTAACGCGAGTCTTAAATACGACCAGCCATACGCCCATCAAAAACCTCTCACTGATATGATAAAGAACATTATGACCAAGACCAAGGAGCCAACAAGCCACACTTCACGACAAAGCGAGTTTTATTTGCAGCCGCATGAGCTGAATAGCAGCACTTTRACCGATTCGGGAAACTCGGMAAATGATGAWTTRTCGAGCRGTAACRGTTGTGAGTACCAAGTTCCTCGTAATGCGAAGAAAAGGGCAGGTCTACTAACTACGGACGCTGAKGACAGTGAGTATGTCGTTATGATGGGAGAGAAATCGCTCACGGACGATGAAAAAGTCGAGAGCAAGTCGCGGAAAGAGTCCAAGAAAGCTTCAGTGAAGGACACTTTGAGAAGAATCCCGGAAAATATCGCCAAATCGAAAATTAAGTTTTTCCAGGACAGAMACAAGTCTCATAAAGAATTGAGTAAAGCAACTGACGAGCGTTCGCATTACGATGTTCCTAAAAGTGTAAAATAAGTATTTGTAGTCCCCCCTACCCCCCACACACACCATGGTGGACCTGGGACTCGACTTCGATTACCGGCAACGAGTGCGGTGATGGGCCCTTTTCCCCTTTGTTTGCATATGGAAACGAACGTACCATACGAAGCCATAACTAAATAAAGTTGTATATATTTACATTTTTATCGGATCAAGTTTTTATACATTTTAAAGTTAGAACTATTTCAGTAGTAAATACTAAAAAATGTTGCGGCAATTTAGTGTTTGTACTCGATCTATTGACGTTTTTCTATACTCAACGTGTAAATACCATTATAGTATTAAATTATGATTATTGTACAAAATAACATTATGTGATTATCAGTTACATAAAAAGTAAAAAAAATAACTGTGTTTGTCTAGTAGTTTATCAGGGTTTAAAGTCAGAATTGTGAATATTTTTTTGTGAGTGACTATAGTAAAACTGCAGTTTCACCTCAACTTTGTGTTAAGCATTTAAGTTCAGCATTGACATTAAACATTGAGCATTAACTAAATAGTGCTATTTAGTTGTATTTTGTAAATCGTGCATGCGGTACTCAAATTGAAAAATGAAGCATTCAATACCATCTTGCTTCAGGTCCAAAAAGATAACCAAACTAGTGCTAATTAGGCTCAATATAGTGCCGTCGATTAAGCAGTTACAKTTAAATCAAAGAATCGAAGTGCGTACTAAGGCCATTAGTGTAATTATCTATTTCACGAGTKTTTTTACTTTCACTCTACCATAGATTTTTTAGAGTGAGGAAAAAAAACTTGAATTGAGGTATTATACTAATCCACCTTAGAAGCTCTAATTTCATTGTTTTCTGTTGCGTCTATTTGACTAATCACACTATAATAGTCAAGTTTTGTTTCACGGGTTTGATGACTTCAATCTAAGGGTGTATTATAGCTCTATGCAAATATAATAAAAGTTCGATTTCTTATCATGCTTTTATTCCACAAAATGGCGTTGTTGACTATTCTTTGTGACCTTTTATTGATCACGTGCTGTTTGGCACTGTACGGCGTTTTGGTTTGCTTTTCGTCGATGATGCACCGGGATCTTAGTCTATATCTGAGTGTTTACAATAATTGTTCAGTCTGGAAATATAGCTCATTGCGTAAAATATCACCAGCAAATTTTAGCACTAGAGCTGCTAGAGTGATCGCACTTAAAGCGTGCAACTGTACAAAGTCTAAGTAGTATTAATTTGTACTGCAAGTGGACCTGAAGCAAGACTGTATTGAATGCTTCATATTTTTAATTCGCGTACAGCATGCACGATTTACTAAATATAACTAAAATAGAACTATTTAGTTTGTACAGTTGCACGGATTAAGTGCGATCACTCTATAAGAATAAGAATGATAATAAAAGGAGGGTTTGTTTAACAAGCACCTTTGAGGTAATCGTGAATGGACCATAGAAATGACTTTTCAGAGACTTTAATTACATGCAAATCTACCCTTATACCACCTGGGAATTCATTTGTTTCCCGAATTGAATAGCTGGTATGCATAATCGATGGTCACTCAAACAACAACGCTGAGATTATAGCTCAAAAACTACCCCAAAAATCATGGCCAAGCAGCTGACAGACAGAGAAGTGGAAGAAATCCAAGATGGCTTCAGTCTTTATGACACTATAGGCGACGGTAAAGTCGATTCCCACAAACTTGGCGAAGTCTTACGAGCTGTTGGACAGAATCCCACTAACATTGAAGTAGCGAAAATTGTCAAGCAACTCGATCCAGAAGGAAATCGGAGGGTCTCTCTCGACGTTTTTCTCCCTGTTTATCAGTCTATGAGAGCTAAAGCAAGACCTTTTGGCCAAGAYGACTTTGTCGATAGTTTGAARGTCTTCGATAGCGATGGATCTGGAACGATAAGCGCTGGAGAGTTGAGACACGTCTTAACAAGCATCGGTGAAAAACTATCCGACGATGAAGTAGATGCACTTTTCCAGTCCATAGACTTTGCACAAGGGCAAGTGAATTATGAAGAATTTATCAAAACAATCTTAAACTCCTAAAGAAACGGAAACATTTGCTTAAACWTAATGAAAATKGCAGTCAAATTTTTTCAGCTCATGCACGCACAGTTGGATATGATTTCATAGTTAAATGCAATGATAATTTACCTTTTATGTGTTGTTAATATATTGTCATTCTTTGTTGTTTGTAATTTGCTGGTCAAGCGTCTAGCGTGTTTTTGTTTTATTGACTTTACTTTTTTATATGGAAAATACACTCTGTAAATATTGAGCGAATTACAGTAGTTCGACACTACAACTCTTTGTGAAATATTTGCGAATACTTTGGTATTAAAATGTTAATCCAAGCATTAGAATTCATAGCTAAATTGCCCAAAGTATCAAGTGTAGATTCGCATAAATTTCACTGACTTCGATGAACATGACCATATAGCGAATAGTTCGGAATGACTGAATTGTAGGTTAAGATGTATTAACAAAAGAACTGAGCATGAGCAAATGGTCAATCGAGAGTCAAATATGCTCGTGGTCGACCGAAAGTCACATGGGAAGTAATTCTGATTATCAATGASAGCCAATTCAACCACAGGATCGAGGGAACCCAGCATTGTATTGAAATAATTTTTTTCTCATGTATTACATGTAATTCGTGAAAAATCGCCGAGAAATTCATGGAATACTGATTTTTTAAATTTTCTTRAAAACCATCAATTAATCGAAAGTAGAGATTGGGCTTTATGTGCATTTACAAAGACAACCACTGAGTCAATACTGTCGTTTTCATAAGACCTTTGATGCACAGATGTTTGCTTTTCAATGATGAATGAATGCGGAGTACAAACAATTCATGATATAACTTTATAAAAAATATGTAAAGAACCGGTACGTTTTTCGTTAATTCGAGGCAAATTCGCGCGGATGCAGCCTATGGTTCAATGTGTCACTCATGCTCGGCTGGTTGTCAAAGTAGCATAACCATTGAAATTGAAAAACGCGGAAATTTCAAASTTGGTCAAAAGAAAGCTAGTTAGAGTACGTAGCATGTTCGTCTTTTGCAGTCACCGCTATCCGGGTAACTTTGCAAAGATGCAAATGCTTTTTTTGCACATTGAAGGCTTTTATGTGTTTTTGAATATTACCCAAATTTGACTCAAGTCTGGCTGAGGAAAGCGAGAGCGTAACGGCGTAATCTACCTTCTCCGCTGTTTTTCGAATCTCCATACATCAATTGATGCTCTATATATCGAGATTTTTTTTTCCTTTTTTGAGCTAAAGCACTGAAACTGTGCTCTTTTTTCATAATTCAGGTTTTTTAATATTATGCACTAAGCCTCTGCTCGATTCAAATGTTTTATTTTGAAAACAGATGGCTCCTTCCGCCATATGAACAGCCAACTGAAGTGTTCATTATCGACAAACCAATGATAACCAACCAAATAGACGGTGTCATATATATGCTAATAGGGACGCAAAACTACGTTGCTTTTGAATCTGAATCATAYAATCTTTCTCCCAGTTATACAAAGAAAAAAAATCATTTCAAAATATCATGTCAGCAAAAAAACCTCCGGGAGATGTTGAATCTACGAAACTTGTCAAAGACAAAAACGATGAGACAATACAAGAAAACGACCAAAGCCTTTGTAGTCGAATCTGCTCAGCCTGTTGCGATAGGTGTTGTCGTTTAGTGCTTGCTGTTATTCTCTTTCCGTTTGTAATCGTGCTTACTCTGTTGGCCTTGATTGTTTGGCTCATCCTGCTACCATGTAAGTATTCTATAAATCGTTATAAGAATTTATACGAATTAATTCCAAATACATATAGATTATTATGTCTACTCTTCACTGTATTTCMCGCCAAATAAAACAAAAGCAAAGAAAGAAAATAATAACATAAGCAACCAATTATAACTTTAAAACAGTATTCATGGTAAAATATTAAACGATAATCATGTATTAGTTGATGTTACATTGGTAATTCCTGCTGCATTTAATACTTATTATTTCAATTCAAAGCAAAATTGAAAGATGACACCTGTTGACATACGATCTTTTCACATGAAATGTACCATGGTTTTCTCTTCTTTTCCATATGTTTTTTGTACTATTTGTCGATTTTTGCCTTTGCTTTTAAATCCAAAAAGCCAATAAAAATACGATAAATACTATAAAAAAAACATATAGGAAAGAAGAGAAAACCTTTGGAACCAGGTACATGAAATAATTCTAAATTGTGGAAATTAAAACACTCGTTACCGAAGCCTTCGTACGTAAGCCTCATTTACAAACGTCAATTTCTTAATTTCGGGTAATTTATTTATGCAAATATAAAATCAGATTTCTTCCCCTTTATAGTTCTTACGGTCCGCTATCGCTTATATCCGTGGATAATACTTTTAAAGTACTCGAGCTGTCTGCGCGCTAAAATACTGTGAAACTAAAAGATGCAAACATCTGTCCTTTTGGCTTTSTTAGTGATCCCGATCAGTCCTAGCTAAAGGCTGATCTTTGCATTGATCCCCAAGTGATATCGACGCAATTTTTKATACCTGATCATTTTCAATTCCTGCCAATAATTAATTCTTGATCCAGATTCCTCTGGCATTTATCAAGATTCTATACAGCTAATGAAAATTCTGAGCCACAACAAACACTGACCGAATMTTCGAAGATATGTCACTCTAGATCAACAGGGGMGTATTKAGAGGGGTAACACGTGACTCCCCCATGGACCCTTCAAGGCACTTTACTTCAAAAGCATTGCATAAATAGAAATGTGGTCGTTGAACCAGGTTGAAGATTGGTTCATAAGTTTGCTTCTATTCCGTGCTCCGGACACATTTTTCCACCTCCTCATATTAATTTAATTGCCAGGGATCAGGGGACAAACATAAGCGCGGTAAATAATATTGCTAATATAGGTGGCTTTGACTTCATTTATCGTTATTTCTTTTCTCAGTACGGTGCTGTTCGTCTTGTTTGGGGCCCGTTATCGACGCTGTAGTGATGGTTTTGACTCTTCCTTTGAGGATGTTCCGCTGGGCGCTTGGAGGCTCATTCAAGGATGACCATTTTGGATGCAAGGAATAGAAAAATTGAATAAGTTTTTAATTAAAACTTATTTTCAGAATCAATAAGGTGTTCATCCTTTTCTTGGGTTTATATTTGGATAATTAGTAATTCAATCTTTTCGCACTAAATGCGTGAAACATATACAGTCTTTCGGTGACACTGCACCTACAAACATCTGTTCGTGATGGTTTGGCTGTAGTCCAATCTCGTACCCAGAGCCCGCACTTTTGCTAYCCAGCAGATGTCAATGCGTGTCCGCTGGATGGCAAAAGTGCGGGCTCTGGGTACGAGATGGGCTGAAGTCAGAACGAAGGGTCGCGCGTGCGGACCACCACTGATAAGAGGAAATGGTAGCTTTGTGCAGCAAGGCATAATGGTAGTTGTAGTCTTCACACTTGTTATAGACCCTAAAATATCTCCTTAAAGTCTTATTTAAGCTTTGGCTTTGTAGAAACGGCAAAATACTTCTATTTTGGCTTAGAAAAGCCAAAATATTTCGGAAGGACTTCTCTAGAGGACATGAAAACGAACACTACAACTAACATCATGCTTTGCCTCACAAAATGGCGTCGCTGAACTTTTAGCCAATCAGATTGCCAGAAATTCATGGCGCGAAAACAAGTCCTTGACGTGACGCGTGCGGTCATATCGTCGAAGACCGAGCTTTTCAACATGTCAACATGAGCGACTTTAAATACCGAGAACAGGACATTAAATAAGCTGGCACTAAAGCTATTCAGGGAACGAAAAGGTCTCAGGCTGATCTTAGAAAGTGTAGTGGTAAAATGTCTAGTTCGCTGACTCAAAGACTGAACTACTTCAATTCTCATTGGTGTCTTGATAAAATATGTTTAATTCATACAGAGTAAGTAAATCATTTAATATTGCAAATAATTACACTCTTGAATGGAGTGCTTATTAATCCTCTTCATACATAGTTCTGTCTCTGAGACATGGAATCTAAACATTATGATATAGCTAAATATCTATTCTAAACTAAACTCAGTCTATGCCGAAACTCATTCCTTTGAGTCGACTTGCCAGGGAAAATCTATCCCCTTGCATAATAACATGGGATGTCATCGGAGCTCCGCTATTTAACTATTAGCCTAACTAATTCTAAATTATTTGAGAGGTCATTTGACATTAAGCT